GACATATGACTCTTTGTGGCCATGCTTTAGTGATAGCAAAGCAGGCAAGATTCAGGGGGGTCTTGAGTGGGACATGTTTTAAATAATTGATCATGAGAACAAAGCAATTGATTAATCTCTTTCACTGGCAGCTCTATTTTTTTTTAACGTCTTTATTGGAGTATAAGTGCTTTACAATGGTGTGTTCATTTCTGCTTTCTAACGAAGTGAATCAGCTATACATATATATATATCCCCATATTTCCTCCCTCTTGCGTCTCCCTCCCACCCTCCCTATCCCACCCCTCTAGGTGGTCACAAAGCACTGAGCTGATCTCCCCGTGCTATGCGGCTGCTTCCCACCAGCTATCTATTTTACATTTGTTAGTTTATATATGTCCATGCCACTCTCTCACTTCGTCCCAGCTTACCCTTCCCCGTCCCTGTGTCCTCAAGTAGCAGCTCTATTTTTTTATGAAAGGAATCTATGCTTTTCCCTGGGCATATGTTAACTTTCAACCAAAGCAAAGACAAATGGAGCATCCAGAGTTAAAAACCTAAATAGAGCCTCTACTGAATTTCGACCTTAAATTGGGATTGTGTGATCATTTGGATGGGAAAGTTTTACTTTGCGCCACCAGTGAAAAGTATTTTCAGCAAAGCTGTTAATATAAAATAGACCAAAAGTTTTTTTTTAATTTTTAAAATGTTCACCTTTAGATATTTTTGGTTAAAAAGAGTAACTCCTTTGTCAAAGTGTAGTTTTCAAAAAGTTAAATACATGACTCTCATACAAATATGGAATGAACATGTACCAGAGATTTAGTCAATTCATTAATGAAGGAACTAGCAGAATGTAAAGCTGGTTCAAAGGAGAACCAAAGGAATGGGTTTAAAGGCATTCAAGAAAAGATGTTGGGATAAGATGCCAGGGTTAGATATAAAACTGGTTAGCAGTCTAACAGGAGAGTAAATCTGGACAGAAATCATCTGCACGTCTACCGAACAAGAATCTACAAGTTATGGTTAACTTTCAAAGTCCAGGCTTTTAATTAGTAGTAAAGAGCTTGTCAAACACTGATCCAGTGCCCTGGGTCATGAAATAATTCTGTGTGAGCTGTTAATACTCCGGCATGACACTGGAGGAACACGCTTCTCTCCTTCACCTTGTTTACAAGGTTTGGATAATTTTCCTTAACATCTTATTATTAAAGTGAGCTTCTACCTGTATAGGCACCAAGAATAGTCAGATTCTTAGAGACAGCAAGTAGAGTGGCGGTTGCCAGGGGCTGGGGGGAGGGAGGGAGAATGAGGAGTTATTGTTTTATGGGTCCAGAGTTTCAGTTTTGCAAGATGAAAGATGTCCTGTGGATGCATGGGAGTGGTGACTGCACAACTGTGTGAATGTGCTGAATGTCACTGAACTATACACTTAAAAATGGTTAAGATGGTCCATTTTATGTTATGTGTGTATGAGCAAAATTAAATAATTTTAAAAAGTGAGCTGACACATAGTTATGTGAAGAAAAAGTTAACAATTCTTCATCCTACTGAGATAACCCATTTAATAACCCTATGTTTGTCTTAACTCACTTTTCCTCGTTCATAAAAACATAAGTAGACTTTTTAAAAAAGGGATTATTAAAATTCTTTGTGAAATTTTCTCTTTTAATAATATGTCCCGGACGGGCCTCTAGGTTACAGATATTGATCTAACCCATTCTTTTTAATACAAACTCCATAGACTGGATATAGCGTAACTTATCCAACTATTGCTCTGCTGATGGAAATTTGAGTTGTTCCCAGGTTTGGGTTTTTTTTTTTTGCCAGTACACAAACTGTTATAATAAGGCTGTTTTAATACAAGAAAGTGATGCTGAAGGCCAGGACCTGAGTAAAGATGGCAAGAAGGCAGAGGAGGGAAATGGATCAAAGAAATGTTTTCTTGGGAAAATGATTGGATTTAGTGGACAGTTGAAAATTTTGGTGTAAGAGTGGGAGAATGCATAGCGCTGCCATTTTATTAAAAGTGGGAATAGCAGAATGTTTCAGAAGAGATGGCAGAGAAGCTGAGAGGGTAGAGTTTGTTTTGACGATGCTGTGTTTGAGTTAGGTGTGCCGTCTCTGCCCAGCTTGGGGAAGGTATCACAGATAAAGACATAGATTTGAGAATCCTTCACATAAAGTCATAGTTGAAGCTCTGAGAGTGGATGAGACCTGTTCCCAGGGAGGCCTTGTATTCTAGAGGAAGGAGGTGACATCCATGGGAGTTACTTGCATTTAGGGGTCTGGCCAAGGAGACTGAGAAGTTGTGGTCAGAGGAGGAACAGGCAAGTAAAGCCTGGAGAGGGAAGAGTCTGAGATTACGTCCCAACTAGTCCAGTCTTAGGAAATGTAATAACGTTAAGTACTCTTAGGTCTGAGCAGTACAGACGTTCCTTCTCACTGCTTGCTGTGTGTGCCTTTCATGACCCCTGCCTCTGTGAGTCCGTTTTCAAACACTGGTTTCCTTGTGTATAAACCACCGGAAACAGTGGTACAGTTTGGTAAGCCAATTTGGGCCACTGCTTTGAATTTAAGGACTAAGCCAAGGCTTCCCTGGTGGCGCAGTGGTCGAGAGTCCGCCTGCCGATGCAGGGGACACGGGTTCGTGCCCCGGTCCGGGAAGATCCCACATGCCGCGGAGCGGCTGGGCCCGTGAGGCATGGCCGCTGAGCCTGCGCGTCCGGAGCCTGTGCTCCGCAATGGGAGAGGCCGCAACAGTGAGAGGCCCGCGTACCGCAAAAAAAAAAAGGACTAAGCCAAATCAAATAATCAAATTGCAAAGAGGCACAGTTTGATTTTAGTTTGGCATCTCTCAACAGTCATTAAAAAGTCATTTTTTAAGGCTATATTAGGTTCATATAAACTAAGACTTTATTATTAAAGGACAGGATGTGTCGACTTCACAAAACCCTGTGAACTAGAGAGGCTGCAGAGGTTCCCTAAGGAAGCAGTGAACACAGGGATTTCTAAAATATTTAGAATTAGCTTTGAAGCTGTCTCAACAATCCGTATTACCATAATTACCCTATTGCTACCAGATCTTTTTATAAAGGATCTGTGAATTTTTACATTCTGTCTACCTTAGGTGATTGGAAGAGAGACTGAAGGGAATTACTAGCAGTCCAAATGCCTTATTTTGTTACCTTTCGTGGTTTTGAGAAATACCCAAGTTTGGAAGAGCAACTGAGTCACTGGAACTGCTTGATGCCACTGAGGAGTGAAACCAGTGGGAATTTGCCAAGTTTGAGGCTGGACTCAATTTATAATAATTCAAAAATTGGTTCCCGGTGTTATATCAGATACCGTGGTTGGAGGTCCCTAAAGACAAATCAAAAGAAGTGAAGCTGAGGACTCTTACCCATGAAGTGCTTTGTCATCTTGTGGGAAAATAAAAAAGATACGTAGGAAAATATTGAAGAAAGAACTCTAAGGTGTCCTGTGGCCTCAGGGTTGTGTTTATTGTTGTTGAAGGAATTTGCAGGTGGAGCAGGCTTAGTCCATACTTGAGTTCCCTCGACCCACAGGACCATTTGGTAAGGAAAAGGCAGGTGTGGGAGCAGTGGGGGACTGGCAGGTTAGGGAGGCGGCAGGTGATGAACAAGCTGGTTTCCAGGTAATGTGATCACAGTAGGGTTATATGGTGGTCATTTTCAGGCATGACGGACTCAGGCCATCATCTTGGGTTACTTGATTATAAATCGCAAAGAAGGAGGTCATAGCTGTGGAGTGTTGATCTAAACAAAGACAGATGAACCCACAGTGGAAAGCTTGTTGTAGGTTCTGCGTCACCCTGAGTATCTTTAGTAGTTTGCCGTTAGTAGAGACCGCTAACTGAGGGTGGGGCGGTACGATTCCGTCAGAATCTTACTGTGCTCAACACTAGTTCATCTAGATGTGTTCATGTGTCATGGGAACTTACCATGTGTTCCAGTAGGTCCTTAGGAAAGCAATTTAGTGACTGAACTCACCTCGTCCCTACCCCAGCTGAGTGCCCATACCAACTGCTTGCAGGAATAATCAGGACAAATCCTGGATTCTTTGCCCAAGGCCCTGAAGTGTCATCCAAACTTGGGGATAGAGAGGTTAAGAATGGAGGTTTCCAGCTTTGGTGTTGCTTCCCAGTCACTTGGCAGTGGAAAATCTTTACTCGCAGAGGCTGCCTTTGGCTTTATTTTTGGACCAGTTGCTGAGTCCTGCTCTGGTCTTGCCTGAACATGCACACCTGGAATCCCAGGACCTGCTGTTTTTTGCACCATCTCCGTAATTCACAGCTGCACAGTTTTGAAAGAGACGCCAAAATCCAGACACAGCAAAGCAGCCTCTTTTGCGTGTGCTGAGGTCCTGAATGACAGTTTTATCTTGGACATGTTCCCTTTTCTTTCCTCTTCTGCTTGTTCATTTTTATCTCTCTCTGTAATATATAAATAATGGACTTATCCTATTTACTGCACAAAGAGAAAATTAAACGTCTGAATTGTTTAGAACTATGGGAAAGTATTTCCAGAGTGTGAAAAAATAGACACTGGACATTTCAGCTTTTGGTGTAGTGGGAATTTATTACTCAGCTCAGTAACAGTTTTTGGTCCAAACCAAGCAGTTGTGTGGGCAAGCCGTGCTTTCCTGAATAGCACTGCAAGAGACAGTTTTGTTCATATTTGAGACCGCGTGAACCAAAGGTATCTTTCCATCAAAGACTGATTATCTCTGAATCTTAGACATATCACAGAAGCTGTGGAGCCCTAGCCAATGGATTTTACTTGCATGAGACATTGCATAGCTCCCAAAGGGGAGGGAAGCAAAAGGGGAGGGAGGCAAGAGAGAATCAGAGCCCAACAATAAATAGCTCTTTGTACCAGTCCCCCCTCCCAAACCCCATACTGCTGAGATCATAGAGTAAGTTAGCAGCATGCAGTAGAAGGCACTGCTGCCCAGCAGCTTGGCACATGATGACCAGATGTGAACTTGTCTGTCCACAGTGTGTGGCTGTGACCTGGCCCAAGGGGGCTTCTTCATAAAGAACGGAGAGTATCTCTGCACCCTGGACTACCAGAGGATGTATGGCACGCGCTGCCATGGCTGCGGGGAGTTTGTGGAAGGAGAGGTGGTGACCGCCCTGGGCAAGACCTACCATCCCAACTGCTTTGCTTGTACGATCTGCAAGTAAGTGTGGCTTTCCCCAACAGAGAAGCGCTGGGTTCTGCTGTCAAAGCTTGGAATGTGCGCTTTGGTCTTGAGTTGTACCTAGTCTCTCTTTTTTTGTTTGTTTGTTTAGTATTTATTTATTTTGGCTGTGCCTGGTCTTAGCTGTGGCATATAGGATCTTTTAGTTGCCGCATGTGGGATCTAGTTCCCCGACCAGGGATTGAACCCAGGCCCCCTGCATTGGGAGTGTTGAGTCTTAACTACTGGACTACCAGGGAAGTCCTTTGAGTTGTACTTAGTCTTAAAATATCTTTTCTTTAAAAAAAATTTTTTTTATTGAAGTACAGTTTGATTTACAGTGTTGTGTTAGTTCCAGGTGTACAGCAAGGTGATTCAGTTATACAAATATACACATATATCTTTTTCATATTCTTTTCCATTATAGATTATTACACGATATTGAATATAGTTCCGTGTGCTATACAGTAGGACCTTGTTGTTTATCTATTTTATATATAGTAGTTTATATCTGTTAATTCCTAATTTATCCCTCCCCCTCGGTAACCATAAATTTGTTTTCTATGTCTGTGAGTCTATTTCTGTTTTGTAAATAAATTCATTTGTATCATTTTTTTTAGATTCCACATAAAAGTGATATCATACATTTGTCTTAAAATATTTTTTTCTGATGCACCTTTAGATGTTTTTATTTTCCTAGTGTGTTATCAGGCTTAGTCAAAAAGTAATTTACTTAGGAAACTTTATATGTGATATCCTCCACTAAATAATGTGACTGATTTTAAGTGCCTTGAAACCAAATCTGAAAGCAGCTCTAGATCTTGAGACATTTTGAGCAATGGAAACATGGGAGGAAATGGCATAAATACTTGGAAAGATGAAGCTTATTTGGAAGTATCAGTGTGTGGGAGTGGGTGTGTGAAATAGTTGCATTTGCTCTATAACCAGGGAGAGCAAACTGCCCCATGGGCCAAATTAGACCCAATACGTGTTTTGTAAATAAAGTTTTATTGGAACACAGCCATGCCCGTTTGTTTATGTATTGTCTATGGCTGGTTCCAAGTGACAGTGGCAGAGTTGAGCAGTTGTGACAGAAACCTTATGATCTGTACAGTCTAAAAATATATTTACAATTTGATCTTTCAGGGGAAAAGTTGCCAACCCCTCCTCTCTATCATCTACCAAGGTTAGATCTTTACTGCACAAAGCAGCTTGATTAAAATGATCAGTCAGAGAGAAGAAGGAAACTGTGTGAAGTGTGAGTGGAAAATGTGGTTCATTGTTGTGTTTTGAGTGCTACACATTACAGAATTTACAATGGGTTCGATTCCTATAATGAGGAGACTCACCAATAAAGGATCAGCTACTTAATTGACCCATACTAATGAGGCAGTCCCATGTCTTTTGGAATGGTGTTGATTCTGTGCACTCCATTTTGCTATGCCTTTGTAAAAACTACAGTTCAGTTTGTTTTGTTTTTCAGCATTTCATGTTTCTAGGCCAGAGAAATGTAAACTCTAGAAGGGTAAATATGATTTTGTATAATTAATTAACAAGATAATACACATGGATAGATTGTAATAAGATTTAGATGAAATATTCATAATCAAATTATTTTAATAACTTTATATAACTATTAGCCCATTTTAAAATTATATATATTTTTTAAATCATAATTTAAAAATTCTGGGTTAATGAGCTGAAATTTTTTCTGTATTTAATCAAAAGCAAACTTCCTCTTGACCTCTCCTTTTTCAGGCTGTGGCTCACAGCCTGGTTAAGAGCCTGGACTGGCATTCGGGAGACCCGAGTCCTGGTCCTGCTTCCTGGGCTGGTTTGAGACCTATGTGAGCTAACTTTTCCACAGCAATTGTCTCATCTGTAAGGTGAGAGGCTGTGAACTGCATACAAGTGATTCCCCAAACCTGGATGGTCACTGGAATCCCCTAGGGAGGGTCTCTTTAAAATATCCATTTCTAGCCTTTCTCCTCCCTAACTCTCATGGTGATTTAGTGGTTTCTGAAGGGCCACCAAGGAGGAGGAGACTCAGTCAGGTTGGATGGCGCTGGCCCAGGTAAACTCCAAGAGGCTTCCTGATCTTGGCCCTGAGAGACCATTGCTTCAAGTTGGTAACGGACAAACATTTATCCGCTGTAGCCCTGTCCCTGCATGTTTGAGCCAGCAGAGAGGTGCCCACTGTTGCTGCTGCTGAATGACGCTAGTTTCCTCTGAGGAGGCCACCTTTACAGTTTACAAATTGCATTCATGTAGAAATCAATTTAACCCTCTGAGCAATTCTGTGGAGTCAATCAGGAATTCGTATCCCTACTTATGAGTGACTTTGAGACTCAGAGTGTAAGGGATTTTCCCAGTCCCTCACATCGCAAGGCCAAGATTTGAACTCAGGTGTTCTGACTGTCAATCCAGTTCTCCTTCTATTACAAACATTCAGGCAAATGTCAGGAGGAAGTGAACCCATATGGGCAGAGGACGTAGGGAAATGAAGGGGGGTCATTCATGAAATAACAAAATTCAGAAGACCTGGTCACATTGTTGAGAACTGGACTCTGGTTTGTCCCATGGTGGATCTGTGTGGGGTTCAAGTTTAACAATAGAAGCTTAGATCAGATGCAGGGCCTGGACTAGGGTGAAGCCAGGGAGGCTCCTGGGCGCACAGTTTAAAGGGGTGCTTACTCCCGGGTCATGCAGCACTTCTGACAGCGGGGGCCTCCTTAGATGCTTTGCCTCGGGTGCCTCGCTGCCCTCACCCTGGTCCTGGCCCTGATCAGAGGCAAAGAACCTGAGCTTATTGTGTCTGTGGACTCTTCACCCCCTGAGGGCCTCCTTACAGAGCAGATTGGAGGCTTGCTTGGTTTTACTTAATAAGTGTGAAGCGATAGGCCTGTTGGTATCCACCAGAGTGTGACTTTGATTATTAAAGACAGAGAAAGTTCTGAGTTGGTGGATACCACCTGCACCGGCCTGTGGCTTGGTCTCCCTAGCTGGTCAATCCACACAAGTTGCTTAACCTCTCTGGGCCTTAGCTGAGCAACGGAAAGTAACACGGCACCAGGAGAGAAGAGGAGAGGAGAGACCACCTCAACTCAGCGCTTCTAAAATTTGGCGGTGTGAGCGTTTAAAACTCTCCTTGATGACTGGCAACGAGCACATTTGTGGAGTTAAGTCCAAATTTACTATCTGTGCGTGCATGATGGTTAATCAACAACTGTTAGGCGGCCGAAGGGCAACTTAAGGCAGCTGTGAACGTAAAACATGTCCAGAAGCTTGAATTTGTTCTTAAGAAATTGCTTCTGACTCAGATGTGTGGGGATGTTTGGCTTATGAGTTTCAAATTTCCTGATTGACAGAATCACACATTTGAAAACTCATGATGAAGATCATTGGCAAATTGGTCAGTTGCAAGAAAGTAGGCGTGGAAACTGTCATATGGCTATTAATTAATGACTTTTTTTAAAGCTATCTGCTTGCTGAAGTGGGAGCAGAAGAAACTGATAACGTACCTGAAGAAGGCAATATTTTTGCAACGTGTGCTGTTATTGATGAATATCTAATGTGAAAGGAAAATATCTTTCTGAAAAGAAGCTAATACTAATTTTTAAACAGATATTTATCGCATCTTCGTATTTCTCCAAGTTTATGAGGGACTGGGCCCCTAGCACTGTGAGATATTTAGTTCGCCCATTCAGACGTCCAGGACCAAGTCTAATTCAGCATAATTATCACGTTGGTCCAGGGAACTTAAAGAGTTAATGCTTGACCTGTAACCAGTTCTCTTGGGGAAGGGCCTTAAGCTTGAATAGGAATCCATGGCATTTAAAATATTTCTTCCTGGAGGTGTTTCCATTTGGAAAAGGAAAATTTTACTGTGTGTGCCCTGCTAGGTGACTTGTTGGAACATCCCTCCGCTAATGAGTGGAGGTAAACGGTATCATTTTACTATCTGGTTGCCCGCAGAAGCTGCGCATTCTCCTTTCCTCTCAAAATGAGGCACGTTTGTGTGTTTGTTTGGACTGGATCCAGCTGGCTGGCTGGCTTCAGGCTGCATTTCAAATGGTTTGGCTCCTCTTCGAAGCAGTGAATTGGCACCGGAGGCCAGCCAAGCAGGGGTGAGGAAGAGGAATGAAATTGCTGCAGTAACCTTGAGGGCAATGTCTTTCTGTCTCCAGGCGCCCGTTTCCACCCGGTGACCGAGTCACGTTCAATGGGAGAGACTGCCTTTGCCAACTGTGTGCACAGCCGATGTCTTCCAGCCCTAAAGAAGCCTCCTGCTCTGGCAGTAAGTGCCCCAGCCACCTGTTGACATGAATTCCTTCATTCCTCAAAGGTAGCTTAGGCAGGTACCTTCCTTTTTGAGAAACTCTGGTAGCCGGAGCCAAGAGTAGGCCTATATCTAAGGCGTTTTCAATTGTAAAACGTGATGCGTGGAGAAACCTTCACTAAAACCTATGCAGTGAGAAGCATCTCCCTTATTTCAAAAGGACAGAAGTAGAATTGGACATCACACTGTGTATTTTGATAGTAAATGAAGGAAAAAGAATTATAAACTATTACATCAGAAACGCCCCTCTCTGGTCATGGAGGTTAAGCTGTGAGAGCGTTTGGTGGTGATGTGATTGATGTCTCTGTGTATTAGAAAAGCTATCCCCGCAGTGCCTTGGGCAAATGTGGTGGTTATTATTTACTCTTAAATAATTCTTTATCACCCTTAAGTATTCTTTATTCACCTGGAGGGTTTCTGACATTTATTCACTCAACAGATAATTTGCTGAGCACGTACAATGTGTGTGTCATTCACACTAGAGATACAGGCGTGGACAGAACATACTCAGAATCCTCAGGAAGCTTATTTTTTAGTAGGAGCAGGTAGACAATGAATGCATGTACAAAAATATCTAATACGTGAAGAAAATTAAAGTAGGAAGAAAAAGCAGGTCAATGGGTCTGTGTTTGTATGGGGCAATCAGGGAGACCACTCTTAAAAAGTGTCACCCAAGACGAGATCGGAAGGAAGTATGGGACAAGCTATCCATACATCATGGGGTTGGTAATTCTTGATGACAAGGCTTGTCTGACCTGTATAAATCCAAAGAAAACCAACTTCCTTCCAAATAAAAATAGTGGCAAATTGCAGTATTTCTTGTAGTAAATAACATTGGGTAGGTCAGTTCACTCTGAAGTGAGAGGGATTCTGAACTCAGGACAGCAAGCAAGGAAGCTCTCCTTCCCTCTGTTTCCTGGGGCTTTAGGACATGGACTAGATAGAGGTTTGCCTCGGTTTCTGTGTATTGTGCCCATCCTCAGAGAACAAATGCCTTTAAACCTTGCCAGTCTCAGCACATAAGAATGAGATAAGCCCCTTCTGCTCCGGAGGAATTTCTTGTAATTTTTAACAGCACTTCTAAATCCTCCTGTTAAAGTAGAAGAGTTATACCTGTTAAAAATAAGAACGTTATGACCAAACGTATTTACATAGAAATTGGATTTTGACCATTGGGAGAAAAGAAGAAAATAAATGTGTTAGTGCATCTTATTCAACACACATGATCAGATCCTTAGCATGTGGATTTATATGCCCTACTAATAAATAACAGCAGCCTGGGTAGGATAAGGGCTACAAAACAGGACACTATCCTAGACCCCTAATAGGGTTTCAAGTCCCTCACTGTGCTTACCTACTCTGCCCCCTGCAGGTCACTGGGAAGGTGACCTAGGTTGAGAATAGGTACCCCTTGCTTGAGAGGGCTTGCTTTGAAAGTATGTTACCAAAAAACTTTGCAGGAATTCTTCAGTCTAGTTAAGAAAAAGAGGATGTTATGAGTCCCAGGATAGGATGACAATCTATAACAGAAGATCATGTCCGTAGGCCTATTATAGGACTGGCTGCATCCTCAAATTCAGTGGAGTCCTTTAGTCCAACTATCTTTCTTGATAGGTGAGGATATTGCAGCCCATGAGGATATTCAAGGTCACACAAGCTGTCCAATAATAAGGTAGGGTTAGAGGCAGGGCTTCTGACTGCGAGTTTGGGGCTGTCTTTTTGTTTCATCTAATACTCCTCATTGTTTGGTTTAAGAAACAGAAGGAGGATATTTTTAAAGGCTTCCAGTCCTCTTCCTCCATGTAATTTGGAAGCATATTTCCTAATCATAGCTCCACCAAAATGGTTATTCCAATTTTTATTAAACCTTGTTTTGCTTTATCTATATTTTCTTTTTCTATATGACATAGTTGTTATGCACATAAAAAAGAAATTAAAATTCTAAGTATAAAAATGTATCAGACTCAAATTCATTACATTTCTAATGCTAGATTTAACAGTTATTGCGTATGTGCAAATTGTTGGACCAAATCGTATTTTCTCCTTTGCTCCCAATGGATGAAATCCCTTTTCTCTGTGCAATTGCTTTGGTCAGAACATTTTTATTTTCAACAAGTACTTGTCTGTTTAGATAAGTACTCAAATAGCATTTCTGGGGCGCGTGGGTGTGGGTGTCTGTCAAAAAGAGAGCTCTTATATATGGATACACACATGCAAAGTACCCAAAGGAGGCAGGCACACAAGTACAAAAGCAAGTGAATTTTCAGCAAGTTTCTGAAATTCGTTGGAGCATAATTAGAAAACACTTGGTTATTCTTTGTAATTCTTTAAGAAATGCCCTATATTTTAAAACTATACTGATGTTACTTTGATTCTTATTTTTTAAAAAATAATGTAACTTGGCAAAGCTTCCTAAAGAAAAGCAAATCATGAAACTTTTCTTTGCTAATGTTCACAGTGTTGGTGAAATAGATCGGAGAGCCAAGGTCCTCTCTTTCCTTTGAAATGTTCTTTCACAAATGAGTTTGCTCTTCTGAACCGAAATTTTATTTCACATTCTGTGGCTGGTTTTCCATAATCACTGAATAGGAGGTGAAGACAGTGTGAGAGGGAGAGAAGAAGTGAAGAGTGGCCAATGGAAGCAAGTCAATGATGTGATGAGAATGAACACAAAATAGGCTCTGTTGGAGCTTACTCAGTAGAGGTGCAATTTCAGCTACTCAGGGGCCACCATGTCTGTGTTGCTCTAATTTAGGGAGACGTCCCAGTGGAGTGCCTGTGATGTCTTGGGTACTCTGCTTGGTGCTTTCTTCCACATTACAGTAACTCTTCTCACCTTTATTTTATTTTCTTCTTAAAACATTTGCATAGTACTCACTGTGATCAGGCACTGTGTAGCTGGTGTACAAATTTTAACTCATTTAATCCTCAAAACCACCCTATAGGTTGGTACTAAAACTATCCCCTTTTCACAGATGAAGAAACAAAGGGCCATAGATGTTAAATATTTGCCCAAGGTTACACAGTGGTAGAGTCGGGATACAAACCCAGGCTCCAGATGCCATGTTACTGTCCCGGATATTTATTGCATAATGTAGGTATCACTCTCTGATTTCCAAAGATGCGGGGTGCTGAGCCTTGGAGCAGTGACCTGACTTGTCTGCGGATTTACTCGAGCGTCTGCCAGCAAGGGCTGTGTGCTTTCTATGCGCCACAGTTGCCTCCCTGGTGTAGCAAGGTTTGGTGAATAGAAACCATCAGGAAGTTATTCATAGAAACAAACTACTTCAATTAAAGATTATTGCCCTTGAATTAGTAAAAACTGTTGCTGCACCCAGTCTAATGCAATTTGAATTCAATAAGCAACAAACATTATATAGCATGGAGATAATAGTAAACATTGCCTCACAGGGTTACAATGAACATCAATTAAACTGCTTTTATAATTGATAAAAAAAATCAATTGCCCATGTCTAGCTGATTCATTCTTTAGAAATAAAAATGTATGTCCAGAAAACATGATGCTCTCCCAGAAGTTTACTGACACTCCTTTAAGGCCTAACTTCACTCCATTCCATGTATCTGCCAGTAATTGAGGGACTGGTTCTTGTGGCGTAAGGAGCCATGTGAGGGGGAGTCTGTGTGTGACAACCTAGAGGGCAGGGAATCGGCTTTGGATGTTGCTTCCTGCACGGCTCTGGTCTATTTCAGGCATCTGAACAGAAGTGGGTTGCTGTCTACGATCACCCTTTCCATTTCAAAGGGTGTCTGACTAGTGTCTGATTGTGTGTGGGTTTGGCAGATTGATGCAATGAACACCCCCCACACACACATACATCCAAACCCATCTTCCTCTCCTTTACCCCCTCTGTACAGCATTGCCATTGTTCCAACTGCAGTTGGAACTCCTAACGTATTGGGGCAAATGCTCTGCTTGGACTGAATTTAAATCATTTCAGATAAACAGTCCTGTGCATGTTTTCAAAGGGGAGGAAGAATTTTTCAATTATTTTACTTTTCTATTTGGTGCAATAGCTTTTAATAGTTGCAAGATGATTTTTTTTTTTTATCTATGTTCTCTCTCAAAAAAACATTTGCAGGTTGAGTGGGATTGTCTGCTGAGGCCCCTACAATAGGTGGAGTGGTGACGATCTGATGCTGGCATCTGACTGCCTGGGGCAGGCTCTGGCTCTAGCCATCTCCTGACCTCTCCATCCTCCAGGTCCTCTTCCGTAAAATGGGATGGCAATAGGTACCTACCTCGTAGGATTAAATAAGTAAATAGATAAAAGTACTGACTACTTATAAAACAAAAACTTACTGTTCACGCATTGACTTCTGAATTTTTGTGTAGGACAATCTTTGCTTTTTGTGACTGTGCGTTTTTCACTCTACCGTTCACGGTGGCTGTCTTTTCTGTTCATTTGATATTTCCACCAATATGTAAAACCATTGAAGGCAGGAACACATGCACACATACAACCCATGGACTGTTGGGTTTTGACTCATGGTGACGGGTTTTGCGGAAGGGCTCCAAAACAGATCAGCCCCACCTTCTTGAGACACTTTCTTCCAGTAGGATAGGATGGCAGAGGAGGCTTGGCAGGCTTCTGCTAAAGAGTGTGGGTTCTGGACAGGTTGATGGCTGGTTTTTATCCCAGTTCTACCACATACAGGCTGTGTGGCCTTGAGAACTCAATCTCTGCCAGCGTTTCTTTGCCTATAAAATAGGAAACAATAATAGTTCCTTTCTTGGGCTTCCCTCGTGGGGCAATGGTTGGGAATCCGCCTGCCAGTGCAGGGGACATGGGTTCGAGCCCTGGTCCGGGAGTATCCCACATGCCGCGGAGCGGCTGGGCCCGTGTGCCATGACTACTGAGCCTGTGTGCCACAACTACTGAAGCCCATGCTCCGCGACAAGAGAAGCCACCACAATGAGGAGCCCACACACAGCAATG